CCCCCCCCCCCTTTTATTTTTTGGGGTGGTGGCAGAGCAGAGCAGGGAGGAGAGGACAGTTGTTCTCCTTTAAACCCAGATCCCTTCAGGAGTTTGGGCACAGCTACTGAATGGTTCAATTTGTACGACCACGAGGGTGGTGACAACTTCAACGGGCTCTGTCATCACGGGAACAGCCCCGCGAGCCACGCCATCGCCGCAGGGGCAGCGGGTCCTGGCGCTTACCTCCAGCTAAGGAGGTTCAAACGCCAGTTCTAGCAATTCGGCAGCAGCGCGGAGCCCGAGAGCGGCCCTGCCCCTCAAAGAGCGGCCCACGCTGCTGCTGTCTCCCACTGCAGAGGTCTGCCCGAAACCCCAGCGGTACGCGACAGGATTTCAAAGCTGAAGTGTTTTGAAAATAAAAGTAGCCGCTAAGCGTACACGTAAAAAGGTGCAAACTTCAGCCTTTGTCAGCTCAGAGGTAGAAGAGCAGTAGAATACATCCGTCTGGAAAAAATTTTTAGGTACCTAAAGAGCCCTTGTACTAACAGTATTCAGTGGGTTTTTTGTCTTGATACACAGCCTAGTTTTATCACCTACACAAAAGACGAGGACAGACTAGAATCTTCACAAGCCATTAAAATGGGTCACATTATTCATCACTGAAGAAGAGTCTATTCCAGTGTTAATTTAATCAAAACTGCTAATTAACATCTGACATTGATTTCACCTAAGAAGGAAATCAGTGTAGAAAATGGGATCTCGCTGTAGAAAATTTAATCTAATTATGAGAATGATTTGCCAGCTGCAGGCTTTGAAAGGGAAAAAGAAAAGGACAGCTTTAATGAAAAAGGAGGTCTACAACGAGCGTTTTTCCCAGTGTGGCATGAACAGGGTTTAAAACATGATTTGTGTCGTGAACGGCTATTGCATTGTGGGGGTAACCAGACTTTTCAGAAAGAATGTCAAGTCTGCTGTCAACTAAGCTGAAACATTCATCTCCCAGCAATCTTTCTGCAAACACCCAGTATCCTTTCTGGATCGAGAGTCATACTAAAACTGGGAAAAAAAAAAAAAAAAAAGTCACATCCATACTTACTACTCTTTCAAGTGTCACTCAAGCGCTATAGTGAAAATAGCATTAGAGGCACACATCAACTTCTACATCTAAAAAAAACCCTACTGGGTAAAGCAGTTTGTTTGTTTTAATTCCAAGGTAGCAAAAAAGAACTCCTTAAGACCATTAGGTATTGCTCTTCCTTAAATTGCATTAAAGCCCTTAATGAGCATCCAGGCTGCCAGGAAACTCTGTCAGACGATCATTTCATTGCCAAGTCAGGTGCTTTCAGAGGAAAGATCAATATGAAAATACCACAGGCCTTTTCACCTTACCTTATGGCACATATAGGATCCACCCTTCTTCACTCTGTCCGTCCCCGACGGGGGCCCTTTCTGTGGAGGAGAGGACGCTGGTTACTATTGAAGGAAGAACTATTGCCAGTCGCAGGGTAAAGGTAAAAAGCTAGAAGAATAGGGAGATGGATAAGGAGCAGCCATAAGTATTCAAAGTAAATTTCAGCTGCCTCTGTCTGAACCAGAAAGCTTGAAATAATTACGTCGTAAAAGACTTGCAGACAGGTACGAGTAATCCTTCTCCCTCCTCGCTGCTGCAAACATTTAACATTGGAGTTGCTGCCCACCGGCCAAGAAACGCCGTGCGCTTTGTTTCTGTAAAGCGGCTGATAATACGCTGGAAGAAGTGCAGTGGCAATCACGAGAGAGTACTGATCTTTGAAAACAGGTACATTTCTGTAGTTTCACAGTTTTCCTAAGGAGAGATTAGGAAATTTTCGCACAGGTAGTGAAATCTGTGTTTCTCATCAGTTCCAGTGCTAGGAAACAAACATATGCAAAGCCACGAGCCCCCCCAGGGAGCCCCCAGAACTCCCAACTTTTTTAAACACAGGTACGCTCCGGTGGCCAGCTGCCACAAGGGGCTGCGACGCCCGATGTTTGGTGCTTATTCTCCTTCCAGCCCCAAAATCAAGTCTGAAGGACAAGTTAGTGACCGTGCAGCAAGACGTTCTGTACCTCCCCCCAGTCACTGCGTACCAGTTGTTGTTATGTGGGCTCACGACAGCTGAAGAGGGCTGCAGAAAGCACTGCGCTATGAGCAACAGTTCTGTAATTGCGTGTGCATTTGCCCTGTAATGCATGTGATTTATTTGAAGTGCTTATGAAATTGGTCCTAGAATTGATTTAATGAGGTTATTTCACTCTTCTTTTTCAATTCCAGCTCCAGAGGACGGCCTCATAGTTCAAGGAGAAAGCTGGGCTTCCTTGATAACAAGCTCTTTTGCTTCCGTCGATACGTATTTATTACGCAGGTGAGCGATTCTCCCACTTTACTCCTTTTAGCTGTGAAAGTTACTACTGCGCTCATCTAATGCATAAAGACTACTGCTATACGTCACGTTTCCATTGTTGATACCAAATATTCTTACATGCTTTCTACACTCCATGTGCACTGAGAAACTACTTTTAGGAAGGAGCCACAAGAATACCTCCCTTATAGAAGTGACAAACAACATCAAGAAAATAAATTGTGTTTTATTAGTTAACTGACAAGCCTAGCCTAAAAGAATCCACTAAGAATCCTCTCAAAGTTGTAAGATTTGCATGTGTTTCTATGCGTTACGCTAGCGTGCAACAAAAATGTTTTCTTATCGTGTACAAGCCTCCAATAAAGAATTTTTCACTTAACTCAAGGTACAAGCTGTTGTTTCTTCAGTGGTTGGTAGGGTGTATAAATCAAGCCTGTATTTCTAGACAAAACCTTATCAGAAGAATTTGTGGAATACAGGGAGAAAAAAAGAAAGCCATAATGTTCTCCAAATCCCTGCGTTTTCTGCTAAGACCAGTACCTTTATCAGTAAGTACAGGTTACAAGAAAGTCATCAGCCTGGTTTTTAGCAGTTAGGAAGAAAGAATTCATTCTACAGAGTATGTAAATGATACAAAATAGTACCATAAAAAAGTGCCACAATAGGTTAAAACCAGACAACTGCTGAAAAAGAAATTCTGCCTGTTATTTGGACTTGGTAGTGTAGGTTAATGGTTGGACTGGATGATCTTAAAGGGCTTTTCCAACCTAAACGATTCTATGATTCTATTTTCTCTCCACCTGTCCCACAACCAGCCATTTATCCTGGAATTATCTGAAGGGTGCTGTGCTTTCTGCAAAGCCTTTAGAACACCACCTTGACCAATATACACGCAGTCACCAAAGAAAGATTTCACTTTGGTAGTATCTCCTGATTCCCGGAATAATTTCCCTTTAGGAAGCAGGTTCCTACAGAGGGGGTTTCCAGGGAATGACACCCCTCCGGCTTTTCTCCGTGTCCGCCGATTTGACCGGTTTGGTTACACCGGGTCACCACGCCGTCCCAGCCTGCACCGAGGGGTACAGCTGTCTCCCGCCCAGCTCCTGCATTACCAGAGGTGAAGTTCTAGAAGAATCAACACAAGGCAAGCATTTGTAACCCTGAATATAGATCGTGGGGACTATGTGAAAACCCTGAAAGTTGATGCCAGTACTACAGAAGCTCCTGACTGCAACCACCAAGTTTGCTTTGAGTCTTCATATTGAAATCTTACCGTACTGAAACTTCAGCAGGTTCACATTTATTGCAAAATTTTATGATAAGGAAAAAAAAAAAATTGGCCTACCACTGCATTTAATACCCTAACAAATACTCAAGAAAAACCCCACCCACAGGCAGTGTCCGCTTGTTTCCGAGCCAGGGTGCTCCTCCACGGGAGCGGCTTGCTCCATTTCCAAGGTCTCTGGAAATTGTCTTCACAAAACTTGCATGTAGACGCACGGAGCCCCGCTCTAAGATAAGCCACTAACAGGCACAATCGACTCACACAGCCTGTTAATCTCACTGTAAGGGAAGACAGGGTAGAGGCAGCCAGAATAAAACCGACCTAAAAAAAAAAGCTACATGAGAACAAGACAAAACAGAGAACAATGGAGCTGCTGAGCAGGATTTCCCATTAAAACTGTAATGCAAATACAGAGCAGCAATCTCTGCCATTATCTCCAAAGTAACTTTTATAAACTGGGAGGATGACGCTAATTTAGGATTAGAAGGTTTATTGTCCAGCCATAAGATTATTTTGGGACATGGTTCAGTCTGGTCTACCCTTGATTGGCTTAGAGTAGACTTGGTAGTGTGGGTTGATGGTTGGACTGGATGATCTTAAAGGGCTTTTCCAACCTAAACCATTCTATGATTCTAATGTATGGTTCAGCAATTATACGGGGATAACATATACTGAAGCAGCATGCGAACCAAAGGAAATGGGAATTGAGTAAGGTCCTTTTATTGATTACAAATATCTTCTGCCAGGCAAAAATTGAGCAAAGGTTATTTGGTAACAAAAACCCGGGTGAAATTGAACCTCACCCCCCAGCCTCTGAAGCAGGATTACAGCGCTGAAATGCTTTACCACCTGCAAAGATCTGATACAGAATAGATTATTGGAGAATACTGTTACAAAACATGATCTTCTTGATAGCTAATTCTTTAAAATCACCGCAGGTAAAGAGTTTATGATTAAACAACTGGGAAAGTTCTTGGGAAAGCAGAAAAATGCCTAGACATTAGTTGGAGAAACAATCACTGCCTGTTTGACAACTGTCTGCGGGCTGTGTTTAATTCTCTTCCTGTTGGTGGTTCCCTGTCTTGCTCTGCAGTTTAGCAAAGGAAATGCTAAAAGGAAGTTGGGATAACCAGGTTTCCCTATAGGCGTATCCAGCTTCTCACATACGTACAAAATAAAACATGCAAGTAACTGTGAGAGACCAGCTACGCTGATACCTTCCTCAGCTCGTGACTGCACTCAAATTAAGGGAGGTTAAAAAAAGAGCCACAGATCCTCAAAGGTAGGGTACCGTGAATTCAGTTCTCCTTCCTAGTGTTAAAAATCCAGCTAATTTGTTAGCTCCTCACTTGAAGGCTACTGTGGAGGTAAAACTGGAACCATACCACTGAACACAGCAGGCAGTGATTGTGCTTTCACTGCGATGGAGCTCAGCTTCTCTGTAACAGGCACCACGTATCACCCGGCTCCCCAGAGCCACGCCAGCTGATCTGAAAACAACCAAAGCGAAGTGAAAAAGACATTCTTATTCCAGACTGACAAGCATCCCCATCGCCATTTACACTGCTTTGTTCTTTTGTATCACAGGTTTGTCTTCCCAAGGAGAACATGGCGTTGGAATCGAGCATGGCGTTTCCTTTCTCCAACGGGCTGCTTTTGCACCCTGTGCGAGCCCCCTACTTAGCGCTAGAGACCGAGGACTTCCAAGTCCCCAGATGATCTGGCAGCATCCCAGCAGCCAAGGGCCACGTTTGCGTTCCGCTCCTTCGGGAGCCCTTTACTACAGCTCCCAGGAAGCTCACAGCTCGGTGGTAACGCTCGGGGCCAGCAGCTGTCCTTCCCCTGCACTGCCTAATGTCTTATTTTTATATTCCTTTCTCTACCCCAGCCTTACTGAAGAAACCTGAAACAAGACACATGCAGGAAGAAGCCACCTGGACTCTCTTTTCTTAGCAAGTGAAGTTGAATGATTTTGTCCCGGTAGGTAGAAGGGCACTGCAGATCCTTGGTCTACCTGTAGCGTGAACTCTCCCTGTTATCCAAAACAGAGACCCTTTATCTCAGTTTGGGGCTGGGAGCGGAAGAAGCCAAGTCCCTGCACACAAACTGGAATAAGAGATTTCAATTTATTTCAAGGTGCCAAGAGCTAGGTGTCCTTACCAGCGACACCCCGCTTCTGACGCTGCACACGAGTTCCGTGCACGCCCTTCTGACCAGAGGCCTTTCCTTTGGGTGGTCTTTCTCCCACCTACATCACCTGCACAAACCTTCTCTTGTTTTACAAAGAACATTAGCAGTCCTTACATCTGCAGATGCAGAAATGTAAACTCATTCCTGTCTGAGCACTGGCTGCTTAGAGACTATTGGGAAAAAAAAAAAACCCAACCAACCAAACCCCAAAAAACTTCACTGCTTTGTCTTCCACAGAACTACACAGACTTCAGGTACGGCATCCTGAAAAAAGATCTCCCAGTCAGCTTCTCTAGAATAACTCATGCATCTAATGTACCTGGTAGAGTAGGAGCGTACAAACGTTATCTAACTTTGGCCAGGCAATGTTACAGCTCAGCATCACACATTTCTTGTAATTAAAAAAGGAGAAAGCCTGCAATGTTAGTATTTGCTCATGCTGGTATCTTCCTTACAGATAAAGGAAACCTGCTTTGATTGTGCTTACCTGTAACAAAACCTAATCAGAGCACGGCAATTAAGGTCACATTTGATGACAACAAGCAAGTCTTTGTTCCATCAAACAACATTGGTTTAGGCTATTACGGAGATGT